ACATAACATACTAATTGCTAGATTAAGACAAATATTAATAGAAAGGAATTTTACTAAAAAAAATAAAAAAATTCAAAATTGTAAAATATTTACGAAGTTCGACAATTAAAAATCAAAAGATCCTGATTATAGCTAACTTAAAGCTTACATTGTTATAAAAAAACTATTGAAATTAGTTATTCAAAACCATTTAAAACTAGATTTAACCATAATTACTAAAGCTTATTAAAAAGTTTATTAAACTTAAACGTTGACTCATCTTGCTCAAACTCGCACCTAATGGATTAATGCTCTTAGCCTTGCAATGTTGAATCACCCATTAAAACATCATTTCAGTTTTTTTTTTCTTAAAAAATGAAAATATTTCGTAAAAAAATTAGTATTTTTTTTTATTTTTTACAAATTTCTTTTTCAAGTTTTTTTTTTTCAAAAAAAAAACTGAATAAATGACGAAAAAATAAAATAATAATAATAAAAAAACGAAAATATTTTGTAAGCATGCAGATTCTACAAAATTATTGGCCTATTATGTTTGCCTAATATTTGCGGGCCTTTGTTATTAACAAAATTTAAAGATAGAAAAGAAAAACTCAAATTGCTTCTATTTCAAAATTTGCAAATTCAAATCTAGAGTTTACTAACCTTCCCTCAAATTAAGTCGGTTTCCCGTATTGAATATTTACTAACGATTTGAATGTGATTTTAAGCTAAAAATTTAACAAAGCCGAAACTAATACTTATGGTGTTCATACTGACACCCATCCACTAGTCCCGCAGTTTAATACTTCACATAATAAATACTTCTACCATTTACATAACATGAGACACATAATGAATATTTAACTAAAATGCGAATATTCTATAATTAAAAAAAACCTTAAATCTTCCGGCCATTTCATTTCATCTTCAATACATATGTTGAAATGATTCAGAGTAGTGTACCTGGTATTTGAATACAAAGAAAGGAAGAATAGGATCAGCAGCAGTAGCAACAGCGCGGCAACAACAAACATTCAACAGTCAGAAGACCCAGTAGTAGACTTGAAAACCGAACAGAAATTCCAGCAACCACCCAATAAAGCATAACAAAGGACCAACAGTTAACTCAAGAAACCAATTGAAAATCCCGGAAGCAAACAGTAGGCAGAAATCACACTCAGGAATATACGGAAAATAATATTCAGATATTTTAGAAATCCTCCTCTTAAAGATTAAAAGTATGTTCTTATCTCCTCTTTAGTTCTGAAATTTTTTATCTCTCCCAAAAAATTCTTTCCTTTTAAGTGTCAAATGAGTCTCTTATATACCCAAAGCAAGACCCAATATTCTTCCACTATGTTCACCCTTTAACTTTTATTATTACCCACACTTTTACTTTAGTAAAAGTAGTCAACGTGGGTTCCCCGTGTTCCCTCTTTTTGAAAAGTAGTCAAAGTGGACCCCCGTGTTCCCTCTTTTTGAAAGGAAGACATTATTACCCACCTTTTCCTTTTTTGCTTTTATCATAATGTCTGGTCCCCACCATAATTAATTAATCTGTAATTGGTTAATTTCCGTTTTACCCCTAAAACTACTGTTACGCCCCGATTCAAAAATCTGTTCAACTTCAAAGTTATCTAAGAACTTAAAATTAAATTACCAGCTATAACCAATCCTTAATCCAGTTCAATCAACAAATTCAAACTTAAACTATGAACAACAAATCAACAATCAGAATTATTTTGACTGAACGACATTTTTAACAACACATATATTTCACATTAAATCACCGGATTAAGAACGAACTTCAACCAAAAGATGAGCACGAATTTAATCTAAGCTACTCAAACAAAGACGGATGATTCAAGCGATTAAACTAACATATTTCTATATTCCAACTTAATTCTTTTAAACGAATAAAAATAAACCGAAGAAGAAATAATCGATTGAATTTCAACTTGAATCTAACCATATTAAAATTAAACTAACAATTTCTTTTACAAACTAAACTAAAATTGAACTAACAATTTCTTTTACAAAAATAAATGAAATTAATATGAAACAAACCAAAATAAGTAATTAAATTTCAATTGATTATAACAACATAAAAATTAAACTAACGATTTCTTTTACAAAAACAAATAAAACACATGAAATAAACTGAAAAACAATTAATTAAATTTCAATTCGAATCTAACAACATTAAAATCAAACTAACAATTTCTTTTATAAATTCAACTAAAATTAAGCTAACAATTTCTTTTACATACTAACAATTTCAATTTGAATCTAACAACATTAAAATTAAACTAACAATTTCTTTTACAAATTAAACTAAAATTAAGCTAACAAATTCTTTTACATACTAACAATTTCAACTTGAATTTAACAACATTAGACTTAAACTAACAATTTTCTTTTTGAATCTAACAACATTAAAATTAAACTAACGATTTTCTTTTGAATCCAACAACATTAAAATTAAACTAACAATTTCTTTTACCAATTAAAAGAAAATTAAGCTAACAAATTCTTTTACATACTAACAATTTCAACTTGAATTTAACAACATTAGAATTAAACTAACAATTTTCTTTTTGAATCTAACAACATTAAAATTAAACTAACGATTTTCTTTTGAATCCAACAACATTAAATTTAAACTAACAATTTCTTTTACCAATTAAAAGAAAATTAAGCTAACAAATTCTTTTACATACTAACAATTTCAACTTGAATTTAACAACATTAGAATTAAACTAACAATTTTCTTCTTGAATCTAACAACATTAAAATTAAACTAATAATTTCTTTTACAAAATAAATAAAAGCACATGAAATAAACTGAAAAACTAATTAATGAAAGTTCCATTTGAATCTGAAAATTAAATCAACAAAACATATGAACAAACTAGAAAATTAATTCAACGATAAACATGAACAAAACAAGAATCGAACATTTAACGATTTTAGATCCGAGAATATCAAAACAAAAATACGGGCAACATGAAACTCAAATCTACTAACCGGATCGAAGCGACGACGAACTCGACCGGAAACAAATCTGTCCGGAAACAATTATTGCATCAAAATGACTCGAATCTGCCCGGAAACTTAAACAATAGATGAAGCTTGACGGAGGGGCGTTTGGCGACAATGGGAACTGAAGCAGTAGCAGCGTGCTGCTGATGCAGTAGCAGCCACGCTGCTGAAACATTAGCGGCACGACAACAAGGTGGTGAAGAAGAAGAAGCAGCGGGCAGCAACGCTAAAGCTGGAAGAAACGAAGCAACGGGCAGCAGCAATAGCGACGAAACGCAGCAGCGGCCGCGACGAGTAGCTGCAGCCATGGACGATGACGAAGTTGGAAGAAACAGAAGCAACGAGTAGCTGCAACACAGACGCAGCCATGGCAACAACGAAAGCAGCGACAGTGGAGAAGAAGAAACAACGGGCAACAATACGACGGGATCTCGTGCTCGTTTGAAGAGCTTGGAGACGCAGCCATGACGGACATCAGTGATGGGATATTTTGATCATTTTGAAGAGCTGTAGATGCAGCCATGGCGGGCAGCATGTGACTAGGAAGAAGAAGCAAAGCAACGGACGCAGTGGCAAGATCTTGAAGACGCAACCATGGCGGACAAGAGAGGNACCTATATAATAATAAAGCTAGAATCCTAAGATTAAATTATAAAACCCAAAATTATCTGGAAATACTAAGTAACTCTTAATAACAGTTAACACACAATTAAATAGCGACTAACGAGAAAATCACCCAATTTGGACATTAAGTGTTAAAAATGCAGAGTACATTATTTTTATGATTTTTTCATTTTGTAAACAAACTTAATTAAATATTAAACGCAAATGCGTCATATTTTTTATATTTTTTATTAACCTAACAAATAAACATGCAAAGACAAAAATGCAAATAATTACACAGAAATGCCACGAAGAACACAAAAATTGCACACAAGGAAAATTGTTTTATTTTGAATTTTTGAGAGTAATTCTTTCATAGGGCAAAAATCACGTGCTTACAAATGGAAATTTTGATATCGGGGTCGGAATGAAATTTCGGAGATTGAAGTAGGTCCATTGTGTCATTTGTGATGTGTGCGTAAATTTCAGGTCATTCGGATGAGGTTTGATGGAATTTTTGATTGTTTGCGGAATTCAGAAGATTTGGAATTCTTAGGCTTGAATCCGATGGTAATTTGATGTTTTGATATTATTTGGAGTGTTCCGAAGATTGGAACAAGTTTCAATGATGTTATGGGATGTGTTGGCATATTTGGTTGAGTTTCCGAGGGCCTCGGGTGGTTAACGGATCATTTTAGGACTTGGAAAGTTGGCAGAATTGCTGATGTTTTTGTTGCAGAGAATCCTTCTTCGCGTTCGCGAAGGGTTGTTGAGAGAGGCAGCTGGTTTGTTCTTCACATTCATTGTGTAGGTCCCGCATTCGCGAAGGTTCATGAGTTAAAGCTACGCATTTGCGAGGAGCATTCCGCGTTCGCGTAGGGTCGACTGTTTGGTCTTCGAGTTCGTGGGTGGGCCCACGCATTCGCGAAGAAGGGAATATTGGTCTAAGGTAGCTTGTGCTTCACGAACGCGAGGGAGCTACCGCGTTTGCGAAGAAGAAAATAATACCTGGGCAGAATATATAAAAAGTCGTCTTCGCGGCTTTTAGCTCATTTCTCACCATTGTTGAAGCTTTTTGAGCGGGATTAAAGAGGGATTCGAAGGGAAATATTTGGAGGTGAGATTTTTGAACTCAATACTCGATTTTATGGTAATTTCTAACTAATTAGACATGAAATTTGTGGGATTTAAAGGCTAAAATTAGGGAATTAGGGCTTGGAATTGGAGAGTTTAAATTGGGGATTTGAGGGACTATTTGAGGTCTGATTTTAATGTTCTTGGTATGTATGGACTCATGGGGGGATGAGGATTCTTGTGATGTGATTTTTATCGAATTCCAAAATGTGGGCTCGGGGGGCGTGTTTGGACAATTTCGGAATTTTTGAGTTAATTTGATAATTTTCATATGGGTTTCATTCCTTTAGCATATATTAATGGTTATATGCTGATTTTAGTTAGATTCAGTGCATTTGGAGGCCGAATCGAGAGGCAAGGGCGTCGCGGGCTAGAGTTTGACTTGGTTTGAGGTAAGTAACGCTTCCAAACTTGGTTCTGAGGGTTTGAGACCCCGAACTATATGTTTTATGATTACTATTGAGGTAACGCAAATGCCAATTGACGGACGTGTGGGCGTGCATCGTGAGAATTGCGGTCTAGATCATTCCATGGCGCCGTTTAGTAACTTTTTCTTGTTGATATCCGTGTTTCTATCATGTGACTAAGTAAATATGCTGTGGAAACATGCTACATATCCTGTTAGGGCTTCACGCCGATACTGTTGGGGTCGTTTCTTGCAGTCATATCATTAGCTTCATTGATATTCTGTACTCAATCTTGTTTATGCATTTTTATATCATGCCTCAGTCTCGATTATTGTTATTTGGCACATCATATCATTGATCGGGCTAGTATCATGACATTGTGACCCGTGTGTGTGAGACTGGAGAGTAATAACTGAGTGAGGCCGAGAGCCTAATTGTGAGTGACAGTATGGGATCGGGCTGCACGCCGCAACGGTTATATTGATGATTATGATAGCGCTTGGGTTGTAAGAGCCCTATGGAGTCTGTAACACACTACCAATGAGCGCAGTTAATGATATTGAGGGATGGATCTTCCCTCGACATAGATCTTGTGCGAAGTATTTATACCTGGAGATGGATCTTCTACATAGGGCTGGAATGGTCTTCCTCGGTACTGGATGACTGCGATCGGTGATATATATATTCCGGGATGGATCTTCCCTGGGCCGGATGACCATATACAGTACCAAGTGGTTGAGAACTTGTGAGTGGAGATACATGGAACATTGATCATGCTAGTTGTGCATTGGTACATAAAGAATTCCTGAGTATTATACTCTGTACCGTTCAGACTGCATTTATTTACTGTTGAGTTTTTACTTGAACTACAAGCATGCCTACCTTTTTGTACAGTTAAATGGTATTATCTGTTGAGTTTTGGTTCGTCACTACATGTCAGTCCATAGTTTGGACCGTTTACTTACTGAGTTGGTGTACTCACGTTACCCCATGCACTTTGTGTGCAGATCCAGGTATCTCGGGGAACGGTAGTGGTTACTGATCATTTCAGTTGTGGACTTTTCCTTGGAGATAGCGAGGTATCTACTTGGTGATCGCATTCCCGCCTTCTCCTTACTTATCTTCCTTTTTGTATATTTGTTGGTTATTCTCAGACTATGTTAGTCTTGTTTATTTTGAATCGTTGTAGTATTTTGCTCATTACTTAGTGACACCCGAGGTCGGGCTTGTATTTTTCCGCTTTGTTTTAATTTTTACTTTATATCTTTTATCGAATATTTGTTAAAAATATGGTTTTACTTAAGTTTTAAATGAAATATGGAGCATTTGGAAATAAGTTGGTTGGCCTAGTTTCACGATAGGTGCCATCACGACCGGGTCGATTTTTGGTTCGTGATATGTTGGTCTTAGAGCCTAGGTTACATAGGTCTCACGGGTCATGAGCAGGTTTAGTAGAGTCTCGCAGATCAGTACGGAGACGTCTGTACTTATCTTTGGGAGGCTGCAGAACTTTTAGGAAAAACTTCACATTCTTGAATTCTTGTCGTGCGAATCTGTTGATTATGGTACTAAACTTGCATTATTCTATTCTCTCACAGATGGTGAGGGCACGTGCTACCAGTCAGGATGGACGGCCACCAATACCACCAGTTGGGGCCGCTAGAGGCCGAAGACGCGGTCGAGGCCGTGGTAGCGGCAGGGGTGTAGCCCGTACAACAGCTAGGTCAACACTTGCAGATCCACCAGCCGCCCCAGTTCATGATCAGGCTCCAGCGGGGGATTCTCCAGCAGCACCAACTCAGGCACCGACTGTGCCTATTGTTATTCCAAGTCTCCAGGAGACCATGGCTGAGATTCTGACCGTGTGCACCGGTCTTGCTCAGGCGGTTGCAGTTACTACTATAGCAACTACTTCTCAGGCTAGGGGAGACACTCAGACTCCTGCCGCCCGTATACCCGAGTAGGTTGTTTAGGGATTGCAGACACTAGAGGCACCACCAGCTTAGCCGATTGCACTTGCTCAGGATTATGTAGTTCCAGTTATGCCTGATGACGAGCAACGTCGATTGGAGAGGTTTGGTAGACTTTAGCCTCCGACTTTTAGTGGTGCAGAGGGCGAGGATGCCTAGAGTTTCTTGGACAAGTGTTAGAGGATGTTACGTACAACGGGTATTCTGGAGACTAGTGGGGTCTCATTTACCACTTTTCAGATTTCTAGAGCTGCCTTCACTTGGTGGGAGGCTTATGAGAGGCGTAGGCCTGTTGGTGCTGCGCCCCTTACCTGTCAGCTGTTCTCCGCTCTCTTCTTGGAGAAGTATGTGCCGCAGTCCCACAGAGAGGAGCTGCGCAGGCAGTTCGAGCAGTTGCATCAGGATAATATGACTGTGATGCAGTATGAGATGAGGTTTTCTGAGTTAGTTTGTCATGCTGTTTGGTTGGTTCCTACAGATAAGGAGAGGATCAGGAGATTCATGGATGGCCTTGCTTACCAGTTACGGATTCTGAACTCGAAGGGATTATGTCTATTAGGAGGTTATAGAGGGTTTAAGACATTATTAGTATGAGTCCCTATAAGTTTGCAACCTTAATATCGTTAAATATTATGTTAGTGTGGTATTTTCTTTTAAGTGGAGTATTTTGATAAAAGTTAAGTATAATTTTGGATAGTTACCATTATTACTACTTTCGGATATACACTATATCGCCTTCATATTATAGATATTATACCTTAGCTTCCTTTTTCTTTTGAAACTTGGAATTGAGGCAAAAATTTAAATTTCTAATAGCAGATTCAACTTAGAGATTAATATTCTGGTAAACTTAAAAATAAGAGGATATGTCGCAAATTTTCCAACTGAAGAACCTCAAGAAAGTTTTAAAATGATTTATTGAGTTACAAAAGTCCACAAACCAAGTTCTTGTTTATACTTTATTTGAACTAAATGGCCATTATGTTTACATATCATTAGAATATTAAAAGTATCCTCTTTGTTTAAATGAAATAACCTATATGAAGTGTGGAAATTCTATGTATTTTTACATAGATGCTTTAAATAATAGTGTATGTATTTATTTTATATGGTACCACATGACCATGATAATAAGTTATATAAAGTGTGTAAAAAATAAGTAAAATTTTAAGTATTTTGAGTTAATTCTTAATTATGCGGGTAATTGATTAATTACCGGGTAGCGGGATATTACCTAAATTAATTAATTAACTATGGTATAAGATTAAATCTCCAAAAAAATGTGGCAGCAACGTAAGATATCTAAGTGACGCATAACCCTTTCTTCTCTGCTCTGTCACTTCTCATTTGCTTTTAATACCAATGTCATGTACTTCATCCTCCTTCTGAGTAGTCATATCCAGTCTTCTCTTAAGTTACTGTTTCTTTCTTTTGACTACAGACCAAAGATTTATTATTTTCTACCATTAATTCATACTTGAAAACAAGAAA